ATACCGGGAAACAGGCATGGTGGTCAAACACCAGAAAGCTACCAGGGACTTAGAGCAGCCATTATCAATTATATTAGTAATGTAGTAATCTAACGATTAGAAAAGGCCAAACAAAACAGATGCATGACATGCACAGCTTCTCTAAGCATCCAAAATAGGTTATTGGAAAAAAGATAAACTAGAAAGCCTTTTCAAAGACTTACTAGAAAAAAAAGATACTAGACGCTAGAAAAAAAAGTATATATATGCATCCATCGGTCTCTGTTGTTGTACATTGTAACAGAGAGAACTTAGAATATGCATCATTATCATACAAATGTCAAATAATCACTGCTCACTAATAGAGGAGATAAGTTTAATCGACTACTTTTTAAATGGAATAATCATTAAGATCAATCAATAAATCATGACAGCACTACAGGATATATAATAAAAATTAGAGAGCAAGGAAATTTAGCAAAGAAAGAACAAAGAAACTTGGCTTAGAACTAAAAAACAAGAACTAAATACATAGTTGTATGCCAATGTATGAAAACCCCTGGTCAAAAACACGTTTTGTTGGTTTTCTACATGAAAATTAGTTAACACATCCTTTACGATTTGGATTTGTATCCAATCTAGGACCACATGTGAAAGGCTACGTTTACATTACCAGGTTGAAGTGGCACAAATCAGATTTTTTGCCCTAATGTGACTCAGATCTGATGTTTTCAGGGCTGTGTGGATACAAATCTGATCTTTTCAAACGACCTGAGCCATTTTCATATGTGGTCCTAGATCGGATACGTATCCGATTCGTGGCTATGTGACCTTAATGTGATGCTCAGATCGGAATTCATGTGCTTTTTCTCCACTGCGCATGCGCCATCATTCAGCGTTACCATGGCAGCAGTGCCGAACAGAAGAATCACCTTTTTCTCCTTCGTCTCGCTCTAATAATGAAGCTGAGAGCTGATCAGAGTTAATTATCTTCTCAGCGAAGCTCGTTCTGCTCGTTAGTTTGTGCTGATGATGAACGTGATTTATTCACGTGACGTTACTGAGTAGGATGAGCTCATGAGGGTCATTTCAGGACGCCGGTTCGTCACATTAATGACAGATTTGAATCACTTACCTAAACGAGTGTGAACCATCGTGTCAGAGATCGGATATTTGAGCAAAAAATCAGATTTGAGCAATGAGGCTTGTAATGTGAACGTAGCTGAAGTGGCTCAGGTCGGATTTGAAAAGATCAGATTTGTGTCCACACAGCCCCGAAAACATCAGATCTGAGTCACATTAGGGCAAAAAATCTGATTTGTGCCACTTCAACCTGGTAATGTGAACTGAATGTGATTATACCAGGGGTCATATCTTTTTGTCTTAACTTAAAAACTGACAGGTCAAGATAAGATTTTTCACAAATTTGCATTACAGAAGCAAATCTGACCTTAATTTAGGAATCTTACAGCATCTTTTCTTACCTCAAGTTAGGAAATCTTCATTTTCTTGATTAAAGTCGACAATCAACTGTCATGTCTGTTACCTAGCAACCGACCATGCGTGCACAGCTGAAACATAAACACGTAATCAAGTTAGTTAGCCAGACAGCTAACATTAGCTACCGTTACTGATGTAAACAAAGTCAAATAAAACTAAAGCGCGATAAATTGAACGTTAAGAATATTGTGACAGCGCCCCCTGCTGTTTATCAGACCGTCGCCGCTCCACAGTTTCAGTCTCCATTTCCCAGACACTTTAGTCGAACGCGCTAACGTTATTCCTCCTAATGAACAGACACACGTTCAGCTCCGTCTCCTCATTATTCACCACCATCACTGTAATATTTTATCATCAACATTAACACATGAAGGTAATAACAGGGGACGGTGGAGATCGAGTCTGCAGTGTCTGGGCTTTTAAATGCTGTTCGAAAGAAATGCAAGTCAAAACACTGTTTTCAGTGTAGATAAATGTAGCGTCATTATGCTATTTATAGTGACCTGGGCTGTCTATCACTGCATAAAACAATAGAAACAGACAGTTAAAACAGAAATTCAGACAGATCTGGGGTTTATCTTAAAGTTAAGAAAATGTTTAGGATATTTTGGCAACTTAGGATGTTTCTGTAACACTGTTTTCTTATGTGGAAATAAGAATATAGACTTAAGACCTGTTGTTCTGTAATAGCCTGTCCTAAATTCAATCTTAACTGAAGTTGCCATGACAACAAAGCAGATATGATTTCAGACTTAAGATTTTTATGTAATACGGCCCCAGAAGTATGAATATTAATATGAATATTTCCCATGGACACTGCAATAAGGGAAGCCTGGAAATTTAGGACTGTTTCCTAGAAAGTTCAATGTGAAAATAAAGGGCTTGGGAACATTGGGATGACCCTAGGAAAACCTGGCCAATAGGAGACAACTGGACATCACTAAAACTGAGTTAGACAAAAAATTAAGTGTATGGAGTCCTGAAATGGGATGCCATTGTGAACCTGTTCATCCCCAGCACTTTGTTACACAGTGATGCCAGACTCTCTCTTTTGCTCTTTCTCTATTTTGTTATTTAATACCTTAACCAATTAACAAAGAAGACACTAAAGAACCAAAAACCACTTAGAATTTCTGTTTATCAAGCAGAAAAAGGTTCTATTCAGCAAGAAAAGAGTTGCTGAAAATGTAGTTATCACCCAAGAGAACTCACTAGAGTTATGTATACACTGCAATATAATCAGCTGAGTTTTTCTAAGATATTTTAATGATCTCATTTTGCAGGTTAGAGCCTACAGACTCTGCATTCTGGAACACATGATACATGACAGTAACAGTATCCCACACACTGACAGGCACATGCCTTCATTAATACACCTGTAGTTACAGAAGCACTATGTTCTTGCATTATATAAACCCCTTTTAACTGACCATTTATCCTGCTCATTATGCGGCATATGATAGTTATTCCTTGTCATATGGATGGATGGAGACGGGATGGAGGTATTTTGCCTACAGAATGCAGTATGTTTTGAACAAATGCTGAGGTTTTAGTTTGGCTGAACATGCACTGAGCTTCTTGATGAACAGCAGCAAAACACAGCCTAGAGGTTTCCAATACCCAAACCGCAACTTGGCACACCATCGATTGTTTAATCCTAGTTTAATAATGGATCATAATGACACGTCCACTTTCAGCTGCACCACATTTAAATTAGACTGAGTTTTCATTTTGTTCGGCGAAGAACGATACGGACTAGTGATCAAAACTGTCAGGTCCTCATGCTTCAAAAGTAATTGTGAGCAAATCTCCAGCGCGGGCCTTGAAGGCCTCTGCTGAAGCACAACATTTGTTCTGTTTTACTGACCAAAGAATTTATTAACATGACACGTGTCTGGCTGTTTTGGGGTTTAGTTGAATTTGACAGTTAGAAAACTGTTAGAAAAGTTAGTGCACCAAATGGAATTATCTGGGCTTCTGCATGAATGGTTTCTAAAATATGATCTTCAACAAAACCATGGTTGTATAAAAATATACAGGTCGATTCAAAAAGATTAATTCGATAACAGACATGAGGCGCCTAGGAACCAATCACAATCCAATTGAAAGAGGGGGTCATAGAGTTTCTGACTGTCAGTGGAAGATGGCTCCCTTCAGTCTGAGAGGAGATGAGACCCCTGAGCAGAAAGCGTTCTGCGTTCTCCACTTCAATAAGAGTGAATCCGTCATAACTGTGCAGCGTGATTTTCGTGGGCAGTGAAGCTCCAACAGCTCAGAGCGTTCGTCGTTGATTCCACAACACTGGATGATCTCCGAAATCCCACTGAAACAGCTGTGAGTGCAGCGACACCCGACATGATCAATCCAGTATGGGATGAGTTTGACTATGGCGTTGATGTTGTCTGTACAGCTGGAGGAGGTTCATACTGAGCACTTGTACAATCACATAATAAACTTTATGCTCATTTAATCCATTTACAGTTCACTGCATTGATCTGTAATGATTTACAAGTGAAATAAATCATTTTGAAATCAGATGAACCTTTATGAATCACGGTGTGTTATGTTGCAGATAATGTGACACCTGGTTTCTACCACTACAACTGTAAAGGAATCTGAGTTAGTACATTTCTCTAGAAGTCAGCATTTCATCTCGAACCACTCTGAATGACTTTGTTTACATCTAAATGACTGAATTATGCAGAAATTTAAAACGAAACAATTAATGGAAAATTCCCCTTTAAGAAAATCAAATCACATTTTAGAAGCTGTAGAAATGCAGAAATGGATGCACAGATTTTCCTGCAACATCATAAATGTTAGCTGTCAGTTTCTCCAGTCTACCTTTAAATCTCCTAGAAAAGGATTTCGCAAGAACAGTATTAGGCTCCATGATGAGTACTAACTGTGACATTTACTTAAGTTTGGTGGCTTTTGTACTTTTCTGGGAATTTTCAAATGACAAAAAATGATTTACACTCAAGTATATTTGTTCACATTTCATATTCACTTCTAATCCCTTATTTTGGGTTTACTGTCTTTCTCTTTTGATGCTGACAGCATCTGGGCTGCTTTGCTGTTGATCACGCCTCACTATTTTGAGCTTCATCCTTCTTTTTTGGACCTTGAGAGTCACAAAGAGAGAGGAATAGCGCCTAAAACGGCACCTGTGCTGATAGATGATGCCCACTGCAGTCCTTTCTGAAGGATTTGTGGCCTAACAGCCTTTTCTGTAGTCCTTCTAGCTCTTATTTACTGATGCAGGTACTGGAGCGTGGCCTCGGGCTATTTTACTCACCTCTGCTTATGCCAGTGCAGTGGAGACTGACACTGTGGCATCTGAAACTGCCCGAAGATGCATTCAATTATAACCGTTTCATTTCTAATATGCTTGAGTGATGGTAACAGGACGCGGGCGCTTTAGTTAAAGGGTGTGTTAGCGGTCAGACTGAAGCCTGTGCTCTTCATAAAGCTCCCTCTCTCTCTCGGTGTGCTCAGGAGTTCCGCCCCTTCAGCTCCTCTTCTCCTCACCCTCTCCTCTCCTCATTTCGCCAGCTAGTCTGCCTCTTTCCCTCCGCTCATCCATCCTCTCGGACCATTTGGTCTCATCCGCGGGAGAGCAGCGGCGGCGGCAGCAGCAGGGCGGTGTCTCTGCTTCCTTTGCTGGCTCCTGAAGACCTAAATGGTCGACGTTTGGACGGAAATCCGACTGTCGAGCCTGTAAAGACAGGTAGGCATCTATTGTGTTTTCCTGCGCTGCTGTAACATCGTGTGTAGTCACCGGTTTCTATGTTGCACTGTTAGCCCACAGTCAGCTCGTAATAAACCAGCGTTCAGTGTCTTTTACCTCAGGTTTCCGAGCTGGTCTGTGTTCAGTCTCAGGTATTTTTTCTGACATTTGACATTTTCTGCACCAGGCCAGCGCGTCAGCCCGGGGGCTCCACTGCTGTGGTCAGTGGTTGGTCGTTTTCTCTTTGTTTGGCTCCATTAACAGAACTTGCTGTGCTACATTTAACCGTTTCCTATGCAAACGCAGGGCATCCTTTTGTTTTTGACTCCTTATGTCGGACAAGCCCCAAATTAGCCTACCGGCGCTCCCCAAGCCGTGCAGGTAGAGCTAACCAGTTCACCTCACATCACACAATGGCACAGGGAGATCTAGGACAGCGGGGCGAAGCTTAAACCTATTAGAAAGGCATATTTTCCCTCACAACACAACCATGTGTTCTGCCTGCATGGTGACCATTGATTTCTGCAGGCTTAATATCTAGATGTCATACAGACCGGTCAGTTAAACGCCTTTCAAAGTGGGTTCTACCTGTCAGCCCGGACTGCTACACAATAAAATGACAGAAACGAGAGCCTGAACGACGGAGACACCGAGCTGTTTCCCAGCTGACAGGGTTTTATTCAGTAAGCTGGCTGTGGGTTTGAGGGTGTGGCACGGAGGCCAGCGTGCAGTGCCCAGCACTGACACCAATTAAAGGTGTGGCAAAGCTACGTGGCAGTTACAGACCAGCATAATGAAGTGATGGAGAACCACTTTCATACAACATTTGGCAATTAGGACTAGTCAACAGGTCAGGTGTAGTTGAAGAGCTGGAGCGTATAATGAATAGTCAGGCTAATTAAAGGAGCCCTCAGTGTGGCTGTGGGGACTACATTTCCCAGCATCCATTGTTCCCTTTGCACATTTAATTCTGCTGTAAATCAGTTTCCTCATCTGTTTGGTGAAAAGCTCACCCTGTCAGTGTTTGTTGAGGTTTTAGGGCACCAGATTCATTGCTAAAACAAACACTCTTACCATATGAGTTTTATTTGCATGTAGACATGTGCTGATATAAAAAAATTAATAATGTAGAAGATTATACGTGTTTGAAAAATCACTGTTAATAGCAATAATGTGTTGGTGGTTCGGAACTTCCCTGCTGGCACTTTATATAATCATCAATTTCTGGATTACTGTTTTCCACCGGTTTTAAATTGCCCATATCTTCAAAAAACAAATTTTCATCACTTTTTGGAAATGAAAGAGTTTGATGTAATATATAAACACTGTTATAGTTTCAAAATGTACCAGTCCCTACAGTCTATATATGACAACAAAGCTAAAAAACACCAATTAACATATATGTCTATTCACCTTCCAGCAGTTTAATGCTGCTCATTCACACTGAAGTTACAAGGAGTGCTACAATATATATATATATACATACATATATATACATACATATATATATATATATACACACCGATCAGGCATAACATTATGACCACCTCCTTGTTTCTACGCTCATTGTCCATTTTATCAGCTCCACTTACTATATAGGTGCACTTTGTAGTTCTACAGTTACAGACTGTAGTCCATCTGTTTCTCTGATACTTTGTTAGCCCCCTTTTACCCTGTTCTTCAGTGGTCAGGACCCCCATGGACCCTCACAGGGCAGGTACTATTTGGCAGGTGGATCATTCTCAGCACTGCAGTAACACTGACGTGGTGGTGGTGGTGTATTAGTGTGTGTTGTGCTGGTCCGAGTGGATCAGACACAGCAGTGCTCCTGGAGTTTTTAAACACTGTGTCCAATCACTGTCCACTCTATTAGACACTCCTACCTTGTCAGTCCACCTTGTAGATGTAAAGTCAGAGACGACAGCTCATCTGCTGCTGCACAGTTTGTGTTAGTCATCTTCTAGTCCTTCATCAGTGGTCACAGGACGCTGTTAGCTGGATATTTTTGGTTGGTGGACTATTCTCAGTCCAGCAGTGACACTGAGGTGTTTAAAAACTCCAGCAGCACTGCTGTGTCTGATCTACTCAGACCAGCACAACACACACTAACACACCACCACCACGTCAGTGTTACTGCAGCGCTGAGAATGATCCACCACCCAAATAGTAGCTGCTCTGTGAGGGTCCATGGGGGTCCTGACCACTGAGGAACAGGGTAAAAGGGGGCTAACAAAGTATGCAGAGAAACAGATGGACTACAGTCTGTAACTGTAGAACTACAAAGTGCACCTATTGTAGTACTTAAATACACTAAATATATATATATAAAAAGAAATATATATACACATTAGACTGTAAATAACTACACATATACACAATATACACATTAATATGCACTAGTACACAATATGTTGACTATCATGGTATACCTTATGACAGAATATGTCAATTTGCATGCATGTGTTCCTTTGGTTTTAACACTAAAGACTCTCTTATATATTATATGTTCCAACAAGAAGAGCTGTTTCACTCACTGTTGCTCCTACAGTACATTTGACCGTTAACATAATTTCTGGTGATGACATTTCGTTCCCAGTGGCCCAATTCAGCAGTATTACGCTTGGACAATATATATTTCCACAAAGAGTTACGTGCAATAGCCTACTGTTACACGAGGAGCAAGAGATGAATCTCACTTAGGCCCACAATGTTCAGATAGAAAATGAATATATTCCATCGCCTGGTAGGCAAGCAGGCACACAGGCTTACAAAATGAAGTACTGTGATGAGGTACCATCCCACACAGTGCCTCCAGTGCTCTCAGAATGAGCCCCATAGGTCCTATATGTTTCATGTACCATATGCATTCTTCAGTCATACTGCGTATTAATGTTCTTTTGCCTGCAACTGTTATTTTTCCAATATGTGTGCTTATCTATTCAGGCTTATCTGCCTGGGGAGCGTTGCAATTGAGGTCGAGGGCAGTCTGTGATTCTCCGTGAAGTTTCCAGTGCACAAAAGCATTGACTTGTTTCTTATACAGCAAGTACACAGTCTGAGCAAGCCATTTATTTTTAATCTAAAGTTCTTCCTGTCCTTACTCTTATAGTGATTTGTGTCTGTCTCTTTGTCCTGCGTATAAGGCGCTAATAAAGGCCTGCTAGTGTGCATCTGTGGGCTCATTTTGCCTCCAGGCCTGACAGTCGCTGAAAAATACTCCACCCCCGTCTCCTCCCTCTCCGTGGACTGCGAGACTGAGCATCACTCTTCACTGATGTTTAACGGTGTCCTTTATGCCGTCTGCGTTGACCCAAGGGATGACAGCTGGGAAGGGAGAATGTGTGCGAATTAGATATGGGTTCAGGGCCGGAGAGGTGTTTGATGTACTCTTCTGCCCTAAGGATGGAGGGAAATCTCCCATGAGGGCTTTGACAGTGGTCGGTGATGGATTTGTTACAAGTTAATTTCCCCCAGCCTTGTGTTTTTTTTTTGTGCAGCAATACCGAAGAAAAAAAATATGAATTCCTTCGGTGACAAAAGCCGAGAGCCCATGCATTATTCAGCCGGCAGTTCGGTTCTGTGGTCCTCAGGATGACAACATGACTTGGCTTGATTGCACTGAGTCAGAGTAATTTTCTTGCGCAGAACTATCAAACAGCTTCTCACATTCAAAGGATTTGTGGGCATCCTTTATGCAGCAAAGCGAAAGCGAAGGGAAAGGGGAGCCTTGTCACAGGAGAAAACGTTGAGGACTTGGAGCAGGAGGTGGTTTGCCTGCTTCAAAATCAGATTTAGCTTTATCTCCCTAAGGTAATATCCCTGCAAGTGTCCTCCATCAGTTACTATGCTCCTTAGATGTGGGAAACCATCGCCTCAAGGCTTCTCACCTATTACTGGGCCTGGAGACTGTTATGAGCATGATATTGATGTGCTCTATGGCTGGGCTCCCCTTTCTCTTAACCAAGTGGCCACTTAACTCCAGATCACAAGCAGTAATACTCTGCCTCCATTAGCATGTGGTTTAGTGAGCTGTAGAGGCTAGTGATAATGGGTTGTTGGGTTGGTGCAGTTCTGCACTCCTGTAAACGAGATTTAACTGTATAATTATTGGCTTTTAGGTGCTATAATAACACAAATGAGTCTTGATTTAAACACAAATAATTATTGAAGCATCAAATAATCATAGCAGTAGCTTCTAATAAAGCTTCTGCTATATTTGTGACAAAGCTTGAAGAAAACCAAGTAATTAAAGCACACATTTTCACACTACCCACACAGTTCACACCACCTGCAACTGTAAAACCAGATGTGCTTACTTATGTACAGTTAAAACTTGACTGTGAACTCATTACTGAGCCTGCCGAGCTTAATTAAGCTCAGTGTCCAGTTATAGGTTTTGTGTAGCACCAGTACTGGGTATCAGTATTGGGCTGATATCAGCAGAAAATGCTGGATTGGATATCGAAGGGAAAACAGAATGAATTTGATTCAGTGCTGTAACAAATCTATCCTGAAATAGCACACGTTCGCATTGTGAGGTGTGATGTTAGTTGTGTATTTCTTCCTGTGGGGTAGAGGCTGAGAGGTTCAGCATTATAGCTTACTTTTAGATGCTTTCCGATCTTAAGTGGTTCAATTAAAAATGGCCCATTTTAATGTTTAGTAGTTTTTAAAAGAGCCCATATCTTACAGTTTTCTTGTATTTTATTTTTTCCCTTTGCCTTCATCCACTTTTAGCATTTGTGTGGTTTTATGTACCAAAAACCTCTCTTTATCCCTTTAACAGGCTGTTTATGGTACGGTGCATTTAAGACTGATATAAGATAAATGAGCTCTGTTCTGATTGTCAGAAAGCACTCAGAGGTGAAACATTGCCTCGGACTTCAATGTGAATGAGCAGGGCTGAACTGCTATAGCCGAATAGGTGGATATACGTAAAGAAGTTGGTTCTTGTGACATCACAGAAAGAGTGAATTCAAAGCAGGCTGTTTTTGCAGCTG